CCGTAGAGCAGACGTACCAGGGGGACCGTAGAGCAGACGTACCAGGGGGACCGTAGAGCAGACGTACCAGGGACCGTAGAGCAGACGTACCAGGGGGACCGTAGAGCAGACGTACCATGGACCGTAGAGCAGACGTACCAGGAGGACCGTAGAGCAGACGTACCAGGGGGCCCGTAGAGCAGACGTACCAGGGGGCCCGTAGAGCAGGATGCCCTTGACGTGCTTGATGCCCATCGTATGGACGACCTCGGGAGGGAAGACCCGCGAGGCGAAGGCGCGTCGCAGGATCTGCACGAACTGCTCGTCCAGGCCGCCGATGTCTATCTTCTGCAAGTTAATTGAAATGGTTATAGACATGCAGAAAACAAGCTTGGAAAACCGATTAGGCCAGTTTTCAACCATAAAGAATCAAGGTCATTGTATTATCAGAAGGGATTGCCAGTTCCAAAACTGCTTCAGGTAGGCTCGGTTGTTGTTGTCATTCCCCAGATCTTATCATGCCAAGAAGCCCAGATTCCAGGAAAGCTACCACTGCATCAGCTCAGACCACAGCTGCAAGGTGGATGAGATGCGGCCAGTAGGTCGGAGGATGTAGGCATCCTCCCTGCAGCAGGAGGATGCACTTGGTAATGCCAGCAGAGGTCAAATTTGTGTAGTCATGCTGGTGTTTGTAGGAGTTCAGTAAATGGACTATGCCTGCATAGCCAGTACACGGGCATAGCCATGGCTACATTAATACCAGGAGGACCATAGAGCAGACGTACCAGGGGACCCATACAGCAGACGTACCAGGGGGCCCGTAGAGCAGGATGCCCTTGACGTGCTTGATGCCCATCGTATCGACGACCTCAGGAGGTAAGACCCGCGAGGCGAAGGTGCGTCGCAGGATCTGCACAAACTGCTCGTCCAGGCCGCCGATGCCCATCTTCTGGAAGTCCCAGTCCGCGGCGAACAAACTCGTGTGCGACTGGCGCGCCTGTTAATATAATCGGCATAATGACGAATAATTACTCACCGAATGACATTGATAAGGGAAGATGGCCTGACGCACAAAAAAATAGCACGAGTCTTCTGAACACGAGTCCAATTATTCCTTGATCAAACATGCTAATGGTTATATAAGGCACCCTTTCCAAACAAACATTTTTTTGTACGTAACATTACGCTGCCAAATAAACTAAAAGCAAGACATGTACAGGGTGCGGCAGAGAAGACGGACGGTTTTAAAAACGTCATAAAACAGTTTATTTTTACTGAAAAACAACTTTATTGATGCAATCAGGTTAACAAAGCAATAGCATTTCAGACAGTTAAGTGTGGAACACACATTCAGACTCTCTCCAGTCCCCACCGTCTACGAGAGGGGTGGGGAGAGCTTCGTTTGACTCGTGTGGTCATAGCATTGTTCGTGTTTCAGTTGCCATGGAGCCTTGGACGGTGGAGCATGGCATTCTCGCCTATGATTGTTTCGTCCTAAAAAATGATGAGTTAGTCACCGTCGCACAGCGCGAGTTTCGTCGCCATTTCAACATTCACCGGAATAAAGCTGTTCCCTCTCGAAACACCATCCTTCGTTGGGTTTAATCACTTCGCAGGTGTGGTGACCTGATCAACAGAAGACCATGAGTAGCCCCGTGAACAGTTCGAACCCCTGAAAATGTGGACACCGGTCGACAAGCCGTTCTTTGCAGTCCGCAGTGTCCGCCTCAGTGACCATTCGGTGAGGCGAATTTTGCATATGGATCTCCGCTTTCACCCATACAAATTGGCCATTGTGCAACAGTTAGAGTCCAGAGATAATGCACAGTGAATAAACTTCACACGTGAGATGGAAGCACTAATAGATGGAAATGATAACTTCATATTGTTTATGAGTGACGAAGCCCACTTTCACCTAAACGGCATGGTTGACCAGCAGAATTTACGTTATTGCGCTAATGAAAATCCGCAACAGTTACACGAAAGACCGCTGCACAGGCCAAAAGTAACGGTTTGGTGTGTTGTATCGCAAACGTGCATCATTGGCCTTACTTCTTCGAAATCGGTAATGATCGTGCTGTTACAGTGAACTTAGAGCGCTACCCATGAATGATGACCAAATTCTTTGTCCCTGAATTACGACGGCGTCCTGTTCCAACACGACGTGTGTGGTTCCAGCAGGATGGGACGACCGCCCACACAGCCAGTGCATCAATATGGACGTCATCCGTCCTCTCTTCCCTGGTCGCCTTATTTCAAGGGTTGGCGATGTTCATTGGCCTCCTCGGTCCCCAGATTTATCCATATGCGATTTTTTCTTATGGGGACATCTCAAGGCTAGAGTATACGTACACAAACCCCGAATTAAAGGACGCAATTTGCGTGGAAGTCGCGCAAGTTGAGAAAGCGGTGTTGGAGTGAGTCTACGCGAACTTTCATGAACGCCTACAGCACTGCATCAACAATTTCGCTCACCACATGCCAGATGTTATTTTCCACACTTAACTATCTGAAATGCTATTTCTTTGTGAACCTGATTGCATCAACAAAGTTTTGTTTTTCAGTAAAAATATACTGTTTTATGACGTTTGTAAAACCGTCCGTCCTCTCTGCCGCACCCTGTTATTAGAAGACATTAAATTAATCACATGTAATTAATAACAGCAGAGATCAAGTGAATAGTCTGGCGGCATAGGCAAGAGTGACGAGATGAAGTTCTTCACCTCGCTGGTAAGGAAGAGGGCCGAGCCCTCGGCCTTCTCGAAGATGATGGACGAGTTGGGGTTGAGGACCCCAAAGTCCAGCTTGCGGGGCTCCAACTTGTCCCTTGCCATTGCCTCCACGTCCACCGCTACACGTAATCAAGTTCTTTAATTCTATCTACTCATAAGACAAATGTTATAAAATCTAATTTATGTTGGAATAAATTAAAATTGATTGCAACAATAGAATTTCGTTCACTTCTCTAGAATACTGTAATTAATTTGTTATTATGGAACCCTTAAACGACTGTCCTGGAGCATTCTAGAATCTACATAGATCATTCACACAATAAAATTGTTTAATTTCACATAATTTATATCCCCAATGCAATGGGCATTGTAATCAATTACATCTGTTAAGATGGAATTGAAAATTAGAAATTCGAAAATAATACAAAAGCAAACCAGATGTCATAAGAATTCATTGAACCGTTGTGGAGAGCATCTTCATCATCAGTATGAAACTTCAATAATATATTAAATTTTGAACAATTAAATGTGCAAGGAAGTGATTAAAACGTACAGTGCTCCATAAAATGAAGCGTAATGGAAAATCCGTCTCTATTAACTATCCAACTTATTTCCTTTAATTGTCAATCAATAGTTTTTTCTTTTTATCGATAAATGTAGGTTATAATGAATACTGTGCAAATAGTCTTATAGATTATATGGTATTTAAATTTTTGAACTGGTGAGGGAGATGGTCTCTAAAAGATTTGTTATTAAAATTTGATGAATTTTCTTTGCTATCAATTTTTGATAAATAACTGTTGTACCGACGGCATTAGAAAATAGATTTCTATGTAGTGAAAACCAAGTGCGAAATAAATTCATGAAGTTTATTAGATGAGGAAAACGTTAGTAAACCCAAAAGATGCCACAATTTCATTTCTTTTACTCTGCTAACAAGAAGACAATACACCCTGTCATTTACCTTCATTACCTGCTCAAGTAATAGGTTTTTTCGAAGAGTAATAAATAATTATTTATTCGCTGTGGCAAGTATTAAAGTATTAATAAGCTACAGTACCATACACGAATGTCGACCATGTCAACCTCATATGTAGCAATGGTGGCTTGAAGGCAAGCTGTCTCGCCAGCAATTGACCATGAAATTAAACTCGACTTTGCGTCCTAAAAAACCTTAGTCCTTGACTTTGGTGGAAATTCATTACACTATAATGGTTCTTTCCATCCTTTATAATATGGCGGTTCTACGGTTCAAATTATAAAGCCTATCAGTAATGTTGTTAATTTTTAGCTTTATATAGTCGAGTATTGAGCAATAAAATTATAGAAATTCATCAATGTTGGTTTGCAGGATCAATATTCCGTAATGTAGATAAATTTCATATTAAGAAATATTTTAGAATTTAAAATACTTCCTGGACCTCATAATGTTCGAATTTCTATTCATTTAACATACATGTAGCATCTACCCAGAGCTCAGCAAGCAATCGAAACACCTACTGAACTCGGATATGTAATGGAGGGAAACAAGTGAAATTTTTGGATTTTACAGATTTTCTATCAATGTTAAATAAAGTGATAAAAAATATAACTCCGTACTCACTGCAGTGAGTGATGGAGAGTGCATTTTCTCGTCGACGAAAACTTGAAGTCACGGACGAACAGACAGACGGACAGACGGACATGGCGAGCACAATAACGCCTTTTCTTCCATAAATGAGAAAATGCGCTAAAAATGTTCAAAATCCATCCTCAGATAAGAATATAGCACGAGTTTTTTGTACGAGTTTTTGTCTGCCGCAATTTTCATATCCATGACCCACATACCATACATTGGTCTACCCTCCATGTCCATGACCCACATATCATACATTGGACATACATTGGCCTACCCTCCATGTCCATGACCCACATACCATACATTGGTCTACCCTCCATGTCCATGACACACATACCATATACTGGCCTATCCTTCATGTATATGACTTTAATACCATAAATTGACCTACCTTCCATCTAGATACATTACCAAAATGCCATGCCGTATACCGGCCTTCTCCCCATGTCCATGACCAACATACCATATATTGGCCTAGCTACCCTCCATATAATGACCAGACTCACATAGTACCATAAATTGACCTACCTCCCAATTCCATGACCAACATACCATATAATGATCTACCTCCCAATTCCATGACCAACATACCATATAATGATCTACCTCCCATTTCCATGACCAACATACCATATAATGATCTACCTCCCTTCTCTCTCGCCAACATACCATATATTGACCACCCTTCATGTCCATGGCCCACATACCATTTATTAACCCACCTTCGATCTCCTTGACCCTGAGTGAAAGGGTTTTCTTGTCACAGAACTTGAAGACGAGCGGCTGGCCAATGTGGTAGCCGTGGCGGGGAAACTGCTCTAAGAAGTTGACGGCCATCTGGTCGGTGTTGTAGGGCTCGTTGGTGGTGCTCTTCTTCTGCAGGAAGTCTGCCTCCAGCACCAGGGTGCTGATCAGCTGCCGCTGAGGGTCTGGCGTGAATGCCTCCACATTGATCTGTGACACAACAACAGCATTACAATAAATGTATTGGCTGAATATAAAGTTCAAAAGCAAGTAATATAAGTGAAAAAGTTGAGGTTGTTAGTGTTTTAGGCTAACCTATAAATTTATTTGCGACACAAAAACGCTATCATAAAGTTTTAATTATAACATTGTGATCCCAGCACAAAACTTTGGAGTTCATGATAAAGCAGTATTTCACCATTAAAGAGACATTATATTTATATGTGCTTATGAATTTCCGCTCACTTAGGCCTATAAAAAATTCAAGCAACTTGGATTCAAGGTCGGTTCAAAGGATCAAAGTAGATCAAAATCAGTGCTTTATCAATTGTTTGCTTTCACAGATAATAAGGAAATAGATTTTACAATACAAATCTTACAGCTTAATGAAATCATGCTAAGGTTACAAGAATCAATCAAAGGGCAACAAGTAACTAAGCAAAATACAATATAAGTGGATAGACACTCAACAGGCCTCGAAGCCTCATATGCACCAGCATATGACAGAGCTGCAAGAGTCACAACCTACCCCTTTACCTGGTTGACAGGAGGAAAGTTGCGGGCATTTGGGTCTTTGTGGGTGGCTGTTGGTTATTTTATTGCACAATATTATTATCTCTTAATTATATTTGGCATATTTATTTCATTTCTTATGTTCTGGATTTATTGGTGAATATTTTTTGTCGGAAACTTTGCTTGGCGAACTTGGACTTTGAAGTATCAGACCTGACTTTGTCAGCTTCTGAATTTGGCTGTCACATCAAGCCACGTGTGATTGTCCAGTTTTTAACTTGGTTGGCCACTCAAAACTGAGTTTTACAGCGGTTGACTCGTTAACTCTAGCATCAAGGATGCTGCAGTTGAGAACTATAAAAATCTAGACAAGGATGGATTTTTTGTTCCTTGTGAACTGTCAGCAGCCAAGCAATGATTGATTTATAAGACCCTAGTGACGATTAAAGTAGCAGATTGCTCCTAGAGTTTCACCGAAACGCGCTTGCATACTTGCAAAAAAAGTACAAAATCGCAAAAAAAATCCTGTAAGAATTTCAGAAAAAAAGCAAACATTGGGAAAGAAAGCGAATATCAATACATAATTGTTGAAGAATAGCAGCGGAACACAGCATAGATAATCCCTCCATTCGAGATAAATGAGGGTAGAACGATGACGATTGACATAGTTAAGATCTCCTTATCGGGATTGCCGGACAAAATAGCGGCAGCGTTTACTAAGAGAAAGCGTAATTAGCAACTCAGGCTGAAGACATCGATGTTGCTGGACAGCCCGCTGGTGATGAGGGCATCGACCAGCCGAGCATGGAGTGGGAAGGCATGAGTGAGAAGACAGACGAAATGGCAGACGATCCACTACCGACTAGGCGACTAGTGACGCACAGCCGGTCTTGTATAGCCTCAGTTTGGTTTGCAGCCTGACAACGTTGAACACGACCACGCGCCGCAGAAGCAGGTTCGATCTTATATGAGGCGGGCAAGTGAGTCGTTTATGAAGGCGTTGGTACCGAACAGCAGAAGAACGAGCGACGAGTTTTCGGGTGCCCAAACTTCGTTCAAGTTCAAGCCAAGACGAGGGTATACCCTACGGGAGCTACGCAAGACTTCGTGTTGCCAGATGAATTCCCTAAGACTAAGAAAAATTATATAATTATTTTTTAGGAATTTCTCCATATTTACATTTGTCAATTTAGTCCATACTTCTATATCGTAGGAATATTACCCGATTGAAGCGGTATATAAGGAAAATAAATGCATCCTATGATTATATTCAGGTTGAGAAGCGGTGGAGAGTGGAAGTGCTGTGATGTCGCTCCAGGAGCTTGACCGATTTGTTTCCTGCGTAAAATTGCTTCCGGAACTTTATTGCCGTCGGGCGGTTGTACTGTGCAGGGTTGATTCCGGTGATTAATTGCTGTGACGAGAGACCTAAGCTAAATCTCAGTGAAGGAACCCGGAAGTCATTGAACAATTAAGAAAGCAGATATTGCGATGGTTGGGAAGAAAGTTGATAAGATTGTTAAGAAGGACTACGGTTAGTCGAAACAAGATGTACCGATAAAAAAATCGAACGGAAGATCGATATGCATAATTTAAGATGTTTGCAAGTTCTGCGAAGAGATCACGTTGAGAGAAGATGACCAGATGGTCATCAGTGAACAGTGAACACTGCGAAGATTTCATTTGCATCAGTTGAGCGAAGTTGAGCTTGGAAGAGTATTGTTTTCTACAGAAAACCGAGTCTTTTCACTGGTTCTGTAGGGACTGCGAGAAACCGACTCTTAGTGCCCGAAAAAGCGAGACACGGATGGAAGAGAAGTGGTTCGCTTTGCTCGCAGTAGTTCGAGCTGAAATGGAGAAAAATTACCGGAAAAAGATGAGCACGTTGAAAGATGTAGTTGGCTCTTTGAGTAATAAACTGAGCTCGTTACGCAAAGAGCTGTCGAAGAGAGAGCTCCACGAAAAATACAGAAAAATTGGAAAATATGGAAATGAAGAATCAAAACGTTGTCATAGCCGAAGTCGCTAGCGAAAGCTCCCGCGAATTACTAGACAGAGAACGTAGGAAATGCAACCTTTTATGGTTCGGCATTCCCGAAAGCACAGTAAATGAGACGAACGAACGAGTGATGCTGACAATAAGTATATTGCAGACTGTTGTAGCAAAGCAATCAGCACACCGGTTTCAGCAATCAGCACACCGGTGAAGGATCTGGCACAAGTTTGTAGCGGGCTGAAAGCAGCGGAAAAATTAGGAGAAACCGTTGAATTCAAGTACGTTTTTGCGAAGAAGGATTCATCCCCATTAGAGGTATATAGCAAATTTTCGCAAGAAATGACAGAAAAGAAACAGACGAAGAAGCACTTAAAATCATGTCAAATACATTCAAGATCTCACGAGGACTCCGGCCACTCGCCGTCAGTCAATGGAGCTAGAAGACAAGTAAATAATAGAAGTCATGTACATAAATCCAGTTTTGTAAATAAGGTAAAAAGTTTACTCATAAATCAAAGTGGGAAAGCTCAAAAAGTTTTAAAAGGTTTATACACGAACTCTGATTCCATTTTGAACAAAAGAAATGAACTGTTACCTTTGATCGCAAACGAGTGAATAGACATTATTTGTAATACAGAGACACTATCTAAAAATCAAGGGGGGGTTAACTTGTACCTGTTGAACTTCAGTCGTCAGGTTTTGATTGTTTTCATAACTTAAACGAAGAGAAATGCAGTAGAGGTGTAGCTCTGTGGGTTAGAACTTCTTATGTGGCCTAGCAAGTTCAGTTATCTGCTGAGCAGCAATCAGCTAGAGTGGTTCCCAAACTTTTTCAGGCTGGCACCCCTTTGCTTCCCCAGTGGATCTCTAGCACCCCCCCCCCCCCCCGACAGACACATAGAAAAATAAAAGAAATAGCAAAAACTTTTAAAAGCCACATTTTCTTAACGGACAAAAAAGAAAAAAACATTTACTCTTACATAACATTACATAACATTTTACATAACTTTAATGTTATGTAGGAGTAAATGTTTTTCTTTTTTGTCCGTTGAGAAAAAGTGGTTTTTAAGAGTTTTTTTATTTGTTTTATTTCATTATTTTTAGTTTTGTAAAAACCAGAAAAAAGTGTTTTTTTTTTAATGGTTTTATATTTATTTGCTACTTTTTAGTTTAGCAATTTAAATCAATTTCCAGGGTTGGCAAGTCTGGATATTCGAAAAATAACCCGATTGTCAAACGTGAATTTTTTTTCTATGATTATTTTTAATTATTAGTTATGATGATCAAATCTTGAATTGTTAGGCAGCATAACCATGAATGCCAAATTTCAAGTTTCTAGGTTGTTCAGAAGAATTCTAAATTAAGGTGTGAATTTGTGATGACAGGCACGAAACGAAGCTAAGAAAAACGTGGTAACAAACACCTCTTTCGTGATTTTTACTATGCTGCAAACGAATGAACGCGGCTTGATAAAACTCGGAACACGTATTCATGAGGACCTAAGGGTGATGTTTAGTTCGTGAAAAATTTTTAAATTTTACCTTCATTCGGGAGTTATACGGCGATACGGGCTGAAATTCGCAGTGATCAACGAATTTCTTCCAAACTACTGAAAGACTAGAACAAAATTTGAATATAAATTCTTAACTACCAAACGGTGATTACTAGCGCGTGAAAATGTATTCGATTCGGAGTCATGTTCTGCATGTGTTGTGTACAAATCGTCTAACGTACGAAATTCTGACTTCGACTTCGCGGACTGCGACGTTCTAAATTAGTTCTTTAGCACCGTCTTCACAGCTGAGCACTTGAACAGTGTTCCAGCCAATGAGGAGCGACCAGCGGGCTCGAAGTTAACTATAGTTTTGAGATACACGAAAAGGAGGTTCTCAAGCGTTTGGTTTGGTCTCCCTGAATCCCAACAAGTCATCTGCATCAGACAGTTTCCACCCTAGATTACTTAAAGAATTAGCAACCGTCCCAGCCGGCACTCTAACAGTATTCATTCAATTATCCTTAATCGAAGAGACTTTGCCGGCCGACTGGAATGAAGATCAAGTGACACGACACCTCTGTTCAAAAAATGTGACAGAAGAGGCCTCAGTAACTATAACCGTCCTGTCAGCTCACATGTGTTGTGTGTAAGGTGATGGAATCGGTTGTAAGAGATAGGATTATCGATCACTTGACTGTTGACTATCTTCCATCAGACTGTCAGCATTGTTAATTAATTTGATTGGCAGATTGTTAATTATTGGCAGATCCTGCACGACTAATCTCCTGTCTACCTTGAATAATAGGACTCTCCTTCTGGATCCAGTGCATGCAGTGTACTTCGATTTTGCCAAGGCTTGACAGCGTTCCGAATAAGCGACTGTTGCTTAAAGTGAAGGCTTTGGGAATAGAGGGAAATGTACTACAATGAAACAAGGGTTTCCTAGTAGGCAGATGAAAACGTGTCAGCATTAACGGAACCGTATTAGACTGGGCAATTGTGCGCAGTGGCGTGCCGCAGGGAAGCATTCTTGAGCCTATTTTGTTTGTTGCTTTTCTAAACGATCTACCAGAAGTAGTGTCAAGCGCGTGCTCCAGTCCATGTATGCCGATGACACAAAAGTTTATTATAATACAGTTAAGGACGCGTCAAATAAAATGACACTGCAAAATGATCTTGATAGTTTAGTTGACTGGGCTGATGCGTGGCAGCTGCGTTTCAATGCTGACAAGTGTAAAGTACTTCACCTCGGCAAGAACAATGAACAGCAAACTTACAGCATGAGAAGACATGGTTGCAACGAGGCAATTATGATTGAGAAATCTTGCGTGGAAAAAGATCACAGAGTTTGTGTCGGCAACGATCTAAAATTTTCTAGTCATATTGAAACGCAAGTTAATAGAACAATTGAACTGCTTGGGCTGATCTAACGATCCTACGAGTACCTGGATGTAGAAGCGATGTAACTTGTTCATCTCTGTCGTGCGCCCGAATTTAGAGTTTGGAAACGCTGTGTGCTCACCGAAACTTGAAAAGGACAAAAATTTAATCGAGTGTTCAAAGACGTGCAATGAGGATAATTCTAAGCTTGAAAGGAAAGTCTAATGAAGAAAGATTGACGATTATGAGGCTTCCCAATCTCTGTTATCGTCGCCTGCGTGGTGACCTCATTGAAGTGTACAAGTATCTATACTCATGATTTGTACAAGGGGCCACAGTGATAAACTAAATAATATAAGTGTAAAAATTACTTTTTACAGACAACAATTCTAAAGAATCCAGTGTCTCCGATGTTACACAAGTACAATAAATTTCTAATTTCATTTTCAAATATTAAAAAAATTAAATTTTTTTCTCATTCATAACAAAAATTCAAGATCATTTATTCTGTCAATTGATTCATGCATTGTCTCCAATTTTACGCAAGTTCAGATCGAAATTTCAGATCGATTGGAGAGGTAGAAGTGTGGTAAATATTGATTATATGATTTGTAGCAGACAAACAAACAAACAACAAGAAGTGAAGTTGTTAAAGAGAATTGTTTTAAAAACTGCGGTGCAACTCATCCATGCGACAGCACTTTTTCTCGCTTCGAGTCACCGACATGTGGAACACCCTCCCTGATAGCATCGTTGACGCTCCGAGTATGAACATCTTCAAGAAGAGACTAGATGAAGCTATGCAGGAGCATATGTTTTTAGTCTTGAAATGCCTAGTACCCTATGGAACAACTGAAAGTCTATAGAAACTATTTAAAACCGCCGTCCGTTGAAAAGATTTGATCAAAAGGCTAGTCTTTTATATCTGTCAACTAGTGAAGAGAAGTACAAGAATCGACGACAGGCCGATCCAGGCCAATTCTTCAACGCCGAAATTACTATATTACTTAAGTAACTGATTGGGAAGGATTTTAGATTGTTCGATTTAATGAAGTTCTATTTCTTCTAGCATCAGTCGGTATGATTGTCAAAATGTTAAGAGCTTTTTAGCGAGATAGCAAGTAAAATTGTACCCTGTAATAATAGCCAGATTGAACTGCGATGTCGTATTTTGTTTTATCTGGTGTAGGGGGATGTAAACGATGAACATCGTTCAGTAATATTTATTGCTCATTAATACGATCATTCATTCTCATGTGCATTTTTGTTCTTGTGACTAAATTATTCTGTAGCGTCCGCGCCAGTAAAATTAGAGTCAGACCTTACTGCCGCAGGAGCTACGTTGTGCGAGGTCAGGTCTGTGTGGCTGTGAGTTGAAAAGTCAGCCGTGTCCCGCCAGCCATTCAGTGCAAGGTTCTCGCTGAGCTCACTCTGCCATGCTGTCTCGCTTGTGAAATTGTACCTGTACCCAGAGCTGGGCAGCGCTACTTTGAAATGTAGCGCCGCTTCCGCTACCGCTACATGCTCTAAATGTAGCGGGCGCTATCGCTACCGCTACATCCACTAGATTGTAACGGGCGCTACCGCTACCGCTACAGTAAAATGTAGCGCGCTACATTAGCCGCTACAATGGCCAAAATTATTAGAAATCTCTTAATATTTATTGTTCTGCTATTGGGATTTACTCATAAACATTTAATGATAATAAAACATTTTTGAAACGTATCAATGCAACTTTATTGCAATTAACCTAACCGAACTAGTATGGGTTAGATACAGTAAATAAAAGTTACAGTTATTTTTATGTTTTACCTTCCCTACATGAATCATGATGCATGGATGTGAACTTTAATCTACCAATCTAAAAAATTATCCACATATACATAAAAAAATCAGTCTTTTTTGTATATATATGTGGATTATTTTTGAGATTGGTAGATTAAAGTAGACATCCATGTAGGGAAGGTGAAACATAAAATCAACTGTGTAAAAATAACTGTAAGCAAACTGAAAGATGAAAAAAACCTGTAAGTGGTAACTGGTAACAACTTAACAGGTAACAACTAAAATGTTGACACTATTAACAGGCTGAGGTTGACAACATTACACCGAAATCTTTCGTACAGTTTTATTCTGTAATTTATATTATGTATGCATCATGCTGGTTTTCAAATAATATTTAATACTATTAAGGGGACCGGCTACCCTAAAAATCGGAAATTTTGGCTTTACCGTTTTCTTGACTCATTTTGTAGCTGCTCAAAAGGCGCGTCTAACGCAGTTTACCGCATGTCTGTGCGTGCTATAATTTTTGCGTAAGACAATTTTAAAAATATATATATGAACATTTTTAACAATATGTACAAAGATTTATTTGAATTAAATCTGTATATATATAGATCATTACTCTAGTTAACTACAAAGTGTTTGCACTCGTTTGAAAGCTACAAACGAGCCGCGTTCAACAAAGCTATTACCATAGATGTACATGCAATACTTTTTAGTGTAATGCAGTCTTGAACTTTTATAAAATGATCATTTTATATCATTATTTACAAATAAATGGTATTTATATGTTATTATTTAAAATGTGAAAAAAATGGGAAGAACGCGAATGAAAAAAACGATGAGGAAAATCAAAATCGGGGCTCTACAGTCGCTAGATATTGTTGTTACAAATCGAATGATATGTGTCTCGACATTGTAGCATGCGATTTGCAGAAGTTCTAAATTTTTTTAGAGTACCCCTTATTTGCCGTTTTCTATTAATTCCACGTTTTCTTCCATTTTTTTAATTTACATGAACAAAAAGGTCTTAGATTTCTGTTTTACATATGTGTACCAAGTTTCAAAACGATCCGTCTGTAAACAAAAAAGTTTTGTTGGAGGGTAGTCTTTCCCTTTAAATAAAATCTAAAGGCTTTATCTATAAATGTAGCGGTAGCACGCTACCGCTACCGCTACTGAAAATGTAGCGGCCGCTAGTAGCGGCCGCTACATGTAGCGCGCTACTGCCCACCTCTGCCTGTACCCTAGATTTTGTGGCTGCACAATGATAGCTTGTTCACTAAATTGTATTGCGTTAATCTTATTTTTACATGTGCCTATTTTTAATTGGTAATTTTTCTGAAATAAAATATTACGTTTTACCAAAGTGAACTGATGTTTTAATGAACACCAATCAAGTGCAATAAAATGCCAGCGTAGGAAATAAAGGAATAAAACTTTATTAAGACCGAGCTTTTAACAAGATAGTTCCCGACGTTTGGCGATATAGCTCGAGACCATCTGACATTGAAAAGTAGCGGCTAATGTCCGGTGACAAGGTAGATGGGCACCACAAGAAGGTTGGCGCATTGAATTAATGACTTAGCTAAGTGACTAAGACCATCAAGTTATCAGTAAGGCCATTTGTTATAAATAATCAACTAGATGATTTTGGACAACCTAGCAGAGAACAGGCCTGATAAAAAGCCAAAACCTGGTCTTCAGAGTTTCAGCATTAAGATTCTCAAACTGAAAAGGATTCAACATTCCATTATTGCATATTGGAGCTTTGTTTGTGATTTCTTCACCAGATGAATTTAGAGACTAACCTGTGAATCTCTTACAACATTCACATCTCATTAAGGTGTAATTACTTGGTTAGGTGAATTTTTGAAACACCGGTGAATACATGACTTTTTTGTGACACCCAGCCTGTAGTCAGATGCCAGCTGATTTGAACACATGAAACAGCTTCTAATTGAGTTGTAGAAACAGCAACATCAAAACGCGGATGGAAACAAGACAAACATTCACACCTCTTGGTCGAGCTCAACAAGGATCTGCTTGCGCTGGATGACATTTAAGCCAACATAGCCTGGTTTGACATCATCATTGTGCAGGACTGTGTAGATTAAGGGACGCCGGTCTGGAGTTGTGATGCACACATACCTGCCAGTATCATCAGTATTAATGAATGATTTAAAGTTTAAACCACTGCATTAAACAGAGAAGAACCTTAATTGATGAACTATCAATTAGCAAAAACATTGTTAATCAATAACAATAAAAGAAGTAGAGAAAAGTGTGCTAGCTATAGCTTTATCTCATCTTGGCCCAACAAAGGATCACACAATTAAATATTACTTTTTTGTAGGAGGGGGTGGGTTTTAGTGTCATTGCCACAATTTCTCAAATTGCATCCTTGTGTCCAACTTGATAAACTGATGCTTAATAACCAAATGAATTGAAAATTTTTGTTTGTTCATGTGTATCATTGATTTCAAAAACATTTTGAAGTATTGAGAGAAAATATATTCTTCAGTAACAATAAGAAGAAGTTAATCAAGAAATATGATTTATGCATGTAAATTCAGAACAATTATTGCATTGTATTAAGCACAGGATCAGCTGACGCACCTACTGACGGCTACTGTATCACTTAGACCAAACATGCAAGAGGAGGTATCTCTCAATAAGGTATCAAATGATCTCTATCTTTTCAAAAAATAGCTTTTGAATGTCTAGCGTTCTGCTTTGAATTACTCAGACTGTACTACTATGCACATTTGTATATTATCAACATCAAAGTACATATCCTAATCTTGAAATCCATTTCAAAAATACATATTTATCTCAATGAAAAAATTCTCTATTCCTCACTTGATTTCTGTGCTAAAATCTGCCTCGTTGACTATGACGCAGTTTGTGAGGGCAAATTCCTGATTTGGACACTTGGCAACCCTCATGATCTGCAAACAAAGAAAAATTAGGCTAAATTACAAAATTCAAGAAAAACTAAGATGAATGACAAGTTAGTTTTTTGCCGAGTAAGCTAATGGTGCCATATTAGCAGCCAGATTGGGCTAGGGTGAAAACAGTGAAGCACGTCCACAATCAGCGCGAAGCTGCAGAATATAGCGGTCAAAGCACCCGGTCAAAAACACCCGTCGACTTGGCTTTCAGCAAGCAAGCTAGATGTAACTTGCGTCAGGCAAGCTTGACGTAGTTTGTGTCAAGCAAGCTACGTGAGCAGCAAGAAAAAAAAACGAGATCAAAACGGAGCCCGGTAAAGTACACCCACTCTAGTCATATATCCTAACCTCTACCCTATCCTAACCTCTACCCTATCCTAACCTCTACCCAATCCTAACCTCTACCCAATCCTAACCTCTACCCAATCCTAACCTCTAACATATCCTAATCTCTACTCTGTCCTAACCTCTACCCTATCCTAACCTCTACCCTATCCTAACCTCTACCCTATCCTAATCTCTACCCTATCCTAACCTCTACCCTATCCTAACCTCTACCATATCCTAACCTCTACCCTATCCTAACTTAACCTACCTTAACCCAATGTAACCAAACCGAACCAAACCAACCCTATCCTAATCTACCTTAAACCGTTCTAGCCTATCCAAATCTAACCAAGCCTACTTTATTATTTTCTAACCTAAGATAGTGTTAGAAACGTAACAGTCACTACAACAGACGGAAAACTGGTTATTATATCAAGTGACCGTTTAAATGTACATTCCTGTTAGCAATGTTATTCACGGTAATCGACCCCAAAAATGTATCCATTTGCGATCTAAAGTCACCGCTGTATCTCCCCAGCAAAATTTTCACTGGTAATTCAAGAGAACAATATCTGGCATAAGATCGTGGCGTCCTTAAACCCTACGCAGCCTAATCTGTTGCAAACTCAATCTCTTGCATCCTATTGCGCGTTAAATGTAATTCCGTCCCACAATTTTAATTTCTATAAACATGTAAAGTCCCGGTGCCTTAGCCCTTCAAAAATTTTTTGCAACAATTCATTCAGAAAAGCACGACTTCATCACTATTATAATACATGGATTAAATAATTATTTATTTGCAATTAGTTCAGATATCCATTTACACCAACACTACCCGCTCCCTTGCTGGAGCAATAGATATTATAGAGATAAGGGGGTACCGTGAGACGATAAAGGGCCAGGGGCCATACTTTCAAAATTCGCTAAGTGAACGTAAGTACTAACGCTCTATTTTCTTGTCTATGATTGGTGGATTTTGCTCGAAAGGCCGTCAATGATTGGCTGAAGAATTTACGATCTCAACTTTTTTTGAAAGTATAGGCCCAGGCAACTGCCCTCTGGCCAGTTGCCTGGCCTAAGGAGTTGAGAAGGGAGCATATGGTTATATGGTTGCCGACATGTGTGCAAAAGCTAGGCACCTGCGGCTTTTGTCTTGGCCGAGAAAATGGCCTTGAATATTTACCCCATTTCACCCACCTCAAATTCGAGGGTCAATTATATGGGACTTTGAACAGTTGGAAAAGTTCAATTTATCCCCATCTTTATTTATATGCACTATATAATTTGATACATTCTATTCAATAAAATAAACATATAAGCACCTATCGAAAACGCACAATTATCTAACAACCTGTAACAATATTGCCTCCCTCAGACAGACCTGTCTGTCTGAGGGAACAACTGCGGCTGTGTTTGAGAGTGTGCTGAACTATTTGGAAGACGTGTGGAGGATGAGGGCGAGGAGGGGGATGATAAGAGTGGGGTTGGTGGAGGAGGAGGGTGATAAGAGAGAGTAGAGGTGTGAAGGCAAAGGTGACCGCGCCTAATGTTTGAGGACATTGTTTCTGTTTTTTCTTAGGATGTTGACGTATAAAACTGAATGTTATAGTCAATTAGAATTGTAATGAATATTAATTGAACATTTCTTCAACTGCCGAGTGTCACGGGAAATTTTAATTTTTTACGCGAGTATAATATTTTTTAGCCTTTTTGATACACTGGCAATCTACCTTTTGGGATTCGGCAGCTAGAAAAAAGACTGAATTAAGAATAAATTGAAAGATAAATGAATACTACACATCCTTAACTAGCTTTAATTTTTTGTGAAATTTGAATAAATAAATAAATAAAGTTATCTGAATTACAATTCGAATTTGTACCCTGCTGTTTGTGTGATAACCTCACAACAGATGAAAAAGTAACTCACAGTGTTGTATCACTCTTACACATTATCGACAGATTCGACATTGCATCATTCTCATAGATATAGCAGTACTGCACCACTCAAAACTGGAAAAGCAACTTCCAGTTTTTTTGGCAACCTCCCTTTCGATCAACAAACCACGTCGCCGTCTGCAGACCACATCACCGTAGACCATGTCACAGTCACCAGTCTAGACTCCTGCATCTCGAAATAATTTTCTCGAAATGAACCGGGACCGACGAAACGAGACGAGAAAATTCCGGGAAAAAATAACGGGACAGAGGTTAAAATTTGTCCCGGAATAAACGTATGAACCGAGACAAGACTTCTGTCCCGGACTTTAAAACTTGTGTCCCGGTAAATTCTGAACCGGGACGAGACAGACAGATTTGAAACGAGACATAACGATACGAGACGAGATTTGTCTTAATTATTTAAGACAAAACAATTTTTTCGATTATGAAACGAATCATTTCGAAAACATGGGTTGAAGAATGTAAAGTTAGCCCTTTATTGCTAATAGGGCCATAGACAGTTACCAGTTAAATTGAGTTAAATTAAATTGACAACTCGGTTAAATTGACAACTCGGAAATCGCAGAAAAACAACTTGTTCGTGATCTAGGAGTGTTGATGAATACTCAGGTCAATTTTGGTGATCACGTAACTGCAATAACCGCAAGAGGTAGGCGGCAGCTCGGGTGGATCTGGCGGACGTTCAGAACAAGAGAAGCGGAACCGATAATCACACTCTTTAGAGCCCTTGTAATACCAATTCTCGAATACTGCAGCCAGCTCAGGACCCCGTTCACACTCGGCGCAGTGCGGCAACAGGAAGGTGTCCAGCGAACCTTCACTTCCAGGATCAGAGGGATGAAAGAGTTGAACTACTGGGAGAGGTTGAGGCGCCTGGGTCTGTACTCACTGCAGAGGAGACGGGAGAGTTATGTCATCCTGTACACATGGAAAATGATAACCGGAATGGTGCCAAACTTCGAGAGCGAGACCTTCAGGATTGAGACATATCACGAGAGAAGGGGGAGACTGTGCAATTCCCCCCATTACGTAACATCCGCAGCCAGATTTCAATCCCTGCGGGAAGGATCACTTTCCGTGGCAGGGCCAAGGCTGTTTAACGTCCTACCAAAGGATCTAAGAGAGGGGGAGTTCACCCTGGAGACCTTACTGGACGTTTTCCTGGGCACAATCCCAGATCGACCTTCCCTGCAACACTACCAGCGGCGAGAAGCAAGCAACAGCATCGTGCATCAGGTGGCCCAAATGAGGGCGGATGAACGATAATCAGAGGCGGCGATCCATCGTGGCCTGGGACTGCTATGTCCCAAACAAGTACCAAGATTACCAAGATTACCAAGTTAATTGCAGATTTAGCAAAATTTGTCTGACTAACTGACATGGCAGTTAATTAGTGGTACGACAAACACCGAAAACCTGTCGATGTATGCATGGCTGAGTATTGAGTAAAAAATGTTATTCTTAAGTCTTAAAGGCTTCGGTGGCACTTTATGGAACGGTATGAGTATGAGCTGAGTTCATTACGCGTTCGGAACGAGTTCAGGCGCCACGGAGCGAATAGGGAGTAGGGATGCAGTGTCTAGATTAGTTGGCCAATTAGTAGACAGTTGAGTGGAGTCCTAGTAAGATATTCCTAATAATACTAAAGCAAGTATTATATTATCTCTGCCTTTAGTAAAATTTTGTGCTACGCCTCCAGGAAATCTTCACAATTGCGCAGTTTCCTGAATTATTATCGAACACTTGGGCGTGTTTAACGTTATTTAGAAAGGATACACATGGATATTTCGAGTTCTTTTTCCAAGATCAAACTATTATATTTTTGACAACTTAAATTTTGTTGTATTCAAAATGTTGATATTTCTTTCCAAACTTTTTGTTGGAGGAGATTGCTTAAGGCAAGATCGATGAATCGGATTCTGTGATTGAGCTGGAGGCAAATCAAAGTCTGTCCAGTCAGCCGATGTCACTAGCTACAGCTAGTATGGCCTCCTCCAAACCATCACAGAACACAATTAAAAAAAACGTGTTTTTCCATTTTTATTTGCCTGTCAAGATTAAGTACCATATTAAACCACAACATGTATTCGTAGCAAAAATCATTTCAATTGGCGAGCTCCAATCAGAATAGTAAAAGGATACGTCTCAAGTTATATAAATGCAGAGGTGGGCAGTAACGCGCTACATGTAGCGGCCGCTACATTTTAAGTAGCGATAGCGGCGCTACATTTAAGCAATTGTAGCGGAAGCGGTAGCGCCCGCTACATATTAAAGTAGCAATACGAGGTTTTGCCGCTACAGCACTACCACTACATTTATAGATAAAGCCTTTAGATTTTACTTAATAGTATTAAATATTATTTAAAAACCCGCATGATATATACATAATATAAATTACAGAATAAAACTGTACGAAAGATTTCGGTGTAATGTTGTCAACCTCCGCCTATCACTATAGTGTCAACATGTTAGTTGTTACCAGAGGTGGCCGGGCAGTAGAACGCTCCTAACAAGTGCAGAACGCTCCAAATACGTACAACAAACCACGGAAAGTGGACACAAAAGGATGAGGCGTCCATATTTTATATTCTTTCGTAATAATAACATTCTTTTTATTTTAAACATAAATCAATCTCTCGTCTTCACGCTGAATTCATTAGTACTTTTTTATATTAATTAGTGTTCATGCACAGTTCTGTAACACAGGTTCC